AATATTTTTAAAGAATATTGAGCTATTGCTCATGAAGAAGTAATAATACAATATAATGTACTATCGAAATAGCACACATCCGAATAATATATATTTCATTGTATTCCTAAAGAAACACAAATTAAACAACTCAGTATTGGGTTGTAATTTTTAAAGAAAACTATTCAAGAAGAGTATTAATTTATCACTCTTGAAGAAAATAGATTACAATTTTTACTATTCTAAAAGAATATTGACATATTACTTTTGAACAAGCAATAATTAAAGATAATGTGCTCACAAAGTAACATTTTCGAAGAATATATTATTTTGAATTCATGTTTATCCCTGAAGGAAAATATTTAACTAATGTCATGAGGACATTGATTAGTTTAACTACTTGAATGATATATGATTTAATGGTATTCTTTGAAATTAAATAATTGACTTATATCTTATATTGAACCAGAAGTTCAATTAGGCTTTATTGTTTCACATGACAAGTCTGATTGTCACTGAATTAATAATGATTCAAAATTAAAATTTTGCATGGGTTTTAAATGAAGAACTAGAAGATACTTCAATTTAATTATGTATGATGTTTGTTCTTTTTCATGAAAATTTTTCATTAATCATCACTAGTTAAAATAGCGGCCGAATTGCCTATATTTTTGAAAATTAATTAGGGTGATAAATAAGGTCCCATCATCCTCCATGTCGATCATCTAAATATTATTTGTATTTAATAGATTTAGTACATATACCTGATGATTGCATGGTGCTTGCAACCTGAAGTTTGCAAAATTACTGCTAAAATTTTAAATTATGAGCATAATTTTCAGATTATATAATCAAAATCGTGTCTTGTTAATGCCAGTGGGTATAAATCTCAACATTTTAATAAGTATTAGTTGGAATGTCGATAAATGGTTTAATACTATTGTTTGTTAATTACTTCCAATTAATTAAATTGAGAATAAAGTACTTTTGATTTTTGTTTAGAGAATTTTATTACGCATTATGCTAATATTATAGCTTTCCTTATTATAATTGACTTATAATCAAAGCCTAATTTTTCTATCTAATCATTTTAATAGTGCAGTATATATAAAATTGATCCATCACAATGCACTAGGATGAAAAATAAAGAATGCTGAGAATGTGTAGTTTGAATCCTTATCCCCAAATGAGCAATATTTTATAACGCTGAAAAAATGATTATCAATTTGATTGGAGAATTCTCTCAGCACTGGGGAGGGAATTAAAAAGTTGAAAATAATGTATAAATACATTATCATCTAAATCCTCACAAAATATCATTTGAACCAGAAATTCGAAAGATAATTTATTTAAATGCATTTACGACCAAAGAGATAACAATATCTCACGTACCAGTTTAAAATGCTCCAATAAGAAATAATGTCCTAGGAAGATAATTTGATAGCATTATATTTGAGATATCTATGACACACCTGAAGTGTGATGATATTTTAATACAAAAAACTTGGAATAAAAATGGAGCAATTCAAGAAGATGGTACCGATAAGAAGGCATAAACTCTTGATGAGTATTTAAACATAATAGATTATAAAACCTCAAATGAGGTTTAGGTACCTAAAATAATGAAACTTAATATATCTCAGTAAGTTGTATCATTATAGAAAAGAAATAGAATCTAATAAAAAAAAATTGTCTACAATATTTTTGCACGTGATGCACCGTATCATATTATGAATATCGAGGATATCAAAATAAATGCATTGATATACATCGATCTAAGTAATAATTGGCCAAATAAAATGACGCGATGCTAGTAAAAGAATTTACTAGAAAAATCTCAATTTTCTGAACGTGAACCTAGTAAAATTGAATTTACTTGTGAAATCTGATGTTTTTGGATCTACAGTCTGAACACCTAGAAATGTATAATTATGTGAAATGAAAATGGAAAAAAATAAAGACGTAATATTAAATGTACGACTCTTTACATAATGAATGTTGTGAAGACTAATATAAATGGATAATTTATTACGTGGGGAATGTAATCACAAGTTTCTATTTCATTAGAGTGACAATGCATGAAATTTAATATGCATATAATAAATGTGATTATAATCAATTTAAAATAAATTTAATATTATCATCGAATGATTTAATATGTTTGAAGCAGAATTCAAGTGATATTATCTTGAGAGAAAGTAAATACTCGTTATACTCTTTTTCTCTTGACAATGTTTTGTCCCATTGGATTGTCTTGACAAGGTTTTTCATGAGGCAACTCTTGTAGCATATTGAAATGAATAATATAGTATTTTCCTTCATTAAAATTTTTCCATTAGTTTATTCCTAATAAGATTTTACTGAGGCATATTCTTTGTACAATGACGTTCTTAACCTACAAAGTATTTACCCTTAAAAGTTACCAAAGATTGATAAAAAATCTTTTGTGAAGACGGTGTTATTTGCAAAACAACATGAGACATATTTCACCAGAAATTGTAATATTGAAGACATTAATGTATGAGATATGAATAGCTTGATACAAGAATTGAAATCAGGGAGAGTAGCTACAATCTTTTTCCTTTGATTAATTTTTGTCTCACTAGATTTTCTTGACACAGTTTTAACGAGGCAACATTTTATTATTCTAAATTATTTGTATACCTTTTCATTTGTTAGCATTTTTGTCCCATCAAGTTTTTTTTGTCAAACAAAATTTTAATGAAATAATGATTGTATAAATAATCATCAAAGGAAGAGTGTTGATTTTAAAAATCTATTTCATTTCGATTGTAACTCTTATTTTGAACCCTATAAACATTGGGCATTGGTTCTTCATAATATAAACTCAAGTTTTGACTCTTATATTCTCTTCTCTTTTTATCTCTTTTCCTAACAATATATATAATAACAATATCCTTTAAAAAACTTAAAACATATCCTCAAAACAGAAAATAGAAAACGAACAAAACCCGATCCGAACCAATGGATTTTTTCTCACAGTTTATAATTTAGGAATCATTCAAGTTCTTTTTTTTTTCTTTTTTTTTTTCGCCTTTGATCAGATTATTCGTTTTGTGATTGTAATAGATGCAGTGATTTTTATTTTTTGTTTAAATTTTATAAAAATGAGAATAATTTAATAAAAAATAATTTGACATAAATAAATAAGTATTAAAGAATAGTAATCAATGATCATTGATAGAACACAATGATTGGTTGTTCTCCAATCCACCCTTTACTATTAATGCTTAACAAAAGTTCATTTATTCACATCTTTATTTCAATCATCCGAAGATATTATTTGACATAATTAACTTATAAAATATCTGAATAATTCTCTTATGCTCTTCCTTCTTCATTTCTATCCTTTCTTCATGTGCGTTTTTTCCTTAATTATGGTGATTTATTTAGGAGTTAATTAATTTAGTTTAATGCAGTAATCCCAATCCCTTTGCAAATGTGGAAAATGTAAACTAATTCCATGTAAGTTTGAAAAATAAAAATAAAAAAAAATCACCAAAACTATAAGAATTTGATTTCCATGGAATTGACCAAAAATATGTTTTAACTGTTTGCATGTTGGAATTCAAACTCTAATTCGACTTTCGTATTAAACAGCTAAAGTAGAAAACGAATTCCTCGATTGTATCATTTTCCATGGAATTTGATGCTATCAAACAGACCCTAATATAAAATCAACTTTTAATTTCTTTGGTAGCAGCTATCCCCATAAAATAAACTACTCTTTTCATCCCATAAAGATAAAATCTTGTTCAATTAAACACAAATTAAGAAAATGTAATTAATATAGTTGGAAAATTGCACAAAATTTTCTCCATCAATTAGGTAAATTTGAATGTATCGATCAATTTTACACTTGAAGCTATATTCTCACTGTCTACTCGATATCTTTCATAGCATCCTGCATCATAAGCGATACCAGATTTAACACGACGAACTAAGAAAAAGAAAAGAAAATATCTGCAAGACTAGGTCACGCTACCTTAGCTAGGCGTGTCACATAAGTTGCGGCCACAGCAGTTACGAGTAGTCCGATTCCGAGGGTCAATAACTGATTATTTCCTCCGAGTAACCTGATATCGGATTCTTCTTGCTGGAGAGACACAACAATAAGAAGAAAGAATATAAAAGCTCGTGGTTAGCTGAATATAGAAAAGGGAACTACGTTTCCTGCCTAACAAATATCATCCTATAGAACTAGAACTACCACCCCTTTCATTATACAAGCAGACGACAAAAATTGAGAACTTTAGGATCAACTTTATCCAAATTTTGCCGAGGAAGCAATCCCAATTTTCACCTTGAAATGGTCAAAATAAGTGGAATTTCATACTTTCGTGGAGGATTAGATCCAGTAAGTGGGGGTCTAATGATCCGATTCCACGATATTAGCTTATTTGACCTAACTTTATGTTAAGTCGATTAAGTTTTTCTTCATTAATTACTTGCAGAACCAACAAATTTGGTTCAATAAGTTGATCTGTATTCAACTGCTTTCACTTTTCAGCAATTGAGTCAGATCCAAGAACAATTACACGCTATAAAATGTGGAAAGGATTTATAATTATCTGCATGAAAAGTACCTGATGTCACAGAAATTTGCTAGTCTACTGTCCATTTCCTTGGGATATCTGGATCAAACTTCTGAAAATTTGTACTTCGTGTTCACTTAATTGCTTATAATTTTTCATTTCCTTCATTCTACTCAATATCTTGAAGGTTTCTACACCTGCCCCTTAACTATAAATTCGAGTCTCCAGTTCAATTGCTATAAAAAAAATCACCCAAACTATAAGAATTCGATTTCCATGAAATTGGCCAAAAACATGTTTTAACTGTTTGCATATTGGAATTCAAACTCTAATTCGACTTTCGTATCAAACAGCCAAAATAGAAAACGAATTCCTCGACTATGTCATTTTCCATGGAATTAGGTGCTATCAAACAGACCCTAATATAAAATCAACTTTTAATTTAATTGGTAGCTGCCATCCCCAGAAAATAAACTACTCTTTCCATCCCATAAAGATAAAATCTTGTTCAATTAAACACAAATTAAGAAAATGTAATTAATATAGTTGGAAAATTACACAAAATTTTCTCCATCAATTAAGTAAATTTGAATGTATCGATCAATTTTACACTTGAAGCTATATTCTCACTGTCTACTCGATATCTTTCATAGCATCCTGCATCATAAGCGATACCAGATTTAACACGACGAACTAAGAAAAAGAAAAGAAAATATCTGCAAGACTAGGTCACGCTACCTTAGCTAGGCGTGTCACATAAGTTGCGGCCACAGCAGTTACGAGTAGTCCGATTCCGAGGGTCAATAACTGATTATTTCCTCCGAGTAACCTGATATCGGATTCTTCTTGCTGGAGAGACACAACAATAAGAAGAAAGAATATAAAAGCTCGTGGTTAGCTGAATATAGAAAAGGGAACTACGTTTCCTGCCTAACAAATATCATCCTATAGAACTAGAACTACCACCCCTTTCATTATACAAGCAGACGACAAAAATTGAGAACTTTAGGATCAACTTTATCCAAATTTTGCCGAGGAAGCAATCCCAATTTTCACCTTGAAATGGTCAAAATAAGTGGAATTTCATACTTTCGTGGAGGATTAGATCCAGTAAGTGGGGGTCTAATGATCCGATTCCACGATATTAGCTTATTTGACCTAACTTTATGTTAAGTCGATTAAGTTTTTCTTCATTAATTACTTGCAGAACCAACAAATTTGGTTCAATAAGTTGATCTGTATTCAACTGCTTTCACTTTTCAGCAATTGAGTCAGATCCAAGAACAATTACACGCTATAAAATGTGGAAAGGATTTATAATTATCTGCATGAAAAGTACCTGATGTCACAGAAATTTGCTAGTCTACTGTCCATTTCCTTGGGATATCTGGATCAAACTTCTGAAAATTTGTACTTCGTGTTCACTTAATTGCTTATAATTTTTCATTTCCTTCATTCTACTCAATATCTTGAAGGTTTCTACACCTGCCCCTTAACTATAAATTCGAGTCTCCAGTTCAATTGCTATCATGAGCTTCAAGCAATTCAATGCAACGTACCATCATCCATATGAAATTTAAAGACATCCATTCACAGTTTCTTATATGCCAAACGAGCATTTATAGGTACCGTGCTTGTATTCAAGAAAAGAATGGAAGTCATTGGAAGTCTTTCTATATGCCATGCATTACATCCAAGTACTCACCAAAGAATCCAACATAATCACACTTGGAGCATTAACCTTTTTTGTTCCAAACATGTCTGAGTATATTATTCTTTTCTTACTCCTTAGTTAAAAAAGGTTACTTATTTTAAAAGCAAGACACGGGTTACTTTCAAATAAGCGACTTATTTACAGCTTTGATAATAAAATACTGTCTTTGTTATTTTTATTTATTTATTTTTAATTTTTTAAATAGACCCATCATTGATTTCAAATAGATATATAGATCATAGAAAAGAACAAAGAAATCCCTTTTTTTTTTTCATGAGATGGACAAAAAAACTGATGTAAGGTTTAAAAATTTATTTACTTGTAAGCAAATTTTTATGCTAAAGACAAACATGTAATTAAACTAGTCTGATGCAGTTGCTTTCCACTTTGGTATGACCAAAGGCCAATCTCATTGTAGATCACCAGCACGACAGAACCAGAAGCAACAAACAAGAAAAATGTTTATGTCAACTTGCCCTCAATTATAAAAGTCAAACTGAAGAAAAATTCCTCAAAAAGAAAGGGTAATTAATCCCGACTGGCTATGGTAGAAAATCCTTGAGCGAGGAGTATAATCCCAGCTTAAGCTGGCAACGGAAACTTGGTTCTTATCTAATAAGTAATGACTGAAGCTTTTTATCAAGCTGCAAATCAATACTTACTATCATCCTGAATATATACAGTACTGAAACTTAAAATATTAAAGATTAAGTACAAGAAACTTTTACCGTAAATTCGTCGTTAAATAGCTACCATCCTCCACAAGAAGAAAGCCTTGTGCTGATGGGTCTTGGGAGAATGTTAAAATTACCCCGGCAGGATATTTCAAATTATAAAGTTAATTTCTATGGTCTCAACATTATAAAGTCAGTGGTAAGCTTTATTCTATGCTACAATAACATCTAAGAATTCCTGTTTTGCAAAATTAGTTTAAAAATGAAAAACATGGTGCTGATAGTGCATAATGTCTCTTCTCTTCATGTTTTTGAGAGAGTTTTCCTCAGTCTAACATTCCCAAACTCCCCATTCAAGTCCAAAATAAAAAGAAGAGAAAATGAACAAAAAACTTCAAAATATATGCACACACTGGCATATACAGGCTATCGGAAACAAACAACACTGTCTTTTGCTGAAAGAAATCATGCTTGCCTTTCTTAAACAAAATATAATTGTGAATTTTTATATTGGACAACACGAGATCCACCACATGTTATCTGTGAAGAATTTGTAACACCACGTTTCTCAAATTTTTGGATAACTAAATCCTTTATCAAGTGGGAAAAGTAGAAAATAAAATTAGAGACAATAAAAAAGTCAAAGGAGAGACAAACAGCCATTTAGTGAGAACTCACAATAATTGCTCTGCCAAATGCACCAGCACTCACATATGCCCAACTTCCCGGAAGCATACCTAACCAACTGCAATACAAAGTGGATATAATCTCTATTAGGACAAAGTTTTGCCAGTGATACCAGGATAGAAAATATCTTGGTTAAATGTACCAACCAAAATTTCACCCAGCATATTCACGTAGAGAATCCTAAAGCTTCAAAGTAATGAGTAGATTTTTTTGTATCAGTTTGAGTGACAATTTAGTTCAAGTCTATTGTGCTTTCTATATAGACACATTTTGATCCAAATGAAAAGGAAGAATCTCCTCAAATAATCATATACTCAAGAAAGCAATAATAGAAAATGACCCTGACCTTCCCAACACATATGGTACGAATTTGACAGATGTAAGCCCATATAAATAATTTCCAAGAGAAAATGGAAGTAACGGACTCAAACGGAGAAGAGTAACAACTCTGAAACCATTTTCCCCAATAGCTTTGTCTATTGCAAGGAATTTCTTGTTACCCTCAACCAGCTTAAGAATACGCTCACGAGCAAAATATCTAGCAATTAGAAATGCAACACTGGCTGCCACCTGAAAGGGAGAAGGACACACAGATTCAAGGATCCAGGGATATATGTTACCCTTCCTTAAAACTTGCAAATCGTAGACTTACAGTCCCACTGATAGACACAAGGATAGTTCCAGTAACTGAGCCAAACAGAAGACCAGCTGACATGGTCAATGGGATGGCTGGAATTGCAAGTATCTAAAGCAAACAATAATTTTGCATTAGCACAGGATGGATATTGTGCTCTAACAAAGTAAGAATGAGAAATGAGAAAAATGAAAAATAGAAACTCAGGTTCTGGATTATGTTTGGCTATGCCTAAGGATAGAGAAGTTTCTTTTAATCGACATTTTGTCTCCAAACATGTTTGGATAACTTACTTTTAAATGGAAATAAGCCTTACATTACCCACAAAATAAGTAACTTTTTACTTGAGTGAACTTTTTAAGCTTAACCAAACAAGCCCTTAGTATCTAACTATTATATTATGACAAGTAAAAGATTGATAAAACCATTCATAATTTCCTATTTCACGCATATTAATAATGTTCTCTGATCTAATATCAGTTATTGTAATTTCAAATTAAACACCGGTGATCCCAAAAATTTAAAAATATATCATCACTCTTAACTAGAAAGTTCTCAGTTTTCGAGAATCGCATGAAGTGGAGTTGAGGAGATAACAAAAATGTATAGAGCGATAAAATGATCTCAAGAAAGAAACTTTGCTCCTTACTTCTAATCCAGCATAGACTGCTACAAAAAGAGCATATCCAGCGGGCCCGTAACCTGAAAATAATCAAATACCTGTCAAATATAGCCACCGTTACAGTATTGAAGTATTCTATCGAAATCATATTACATGTAAAGATAGAGCAAACCTCTATCCTCATACGAAGTGTAAATCTTGAAATGGAAGATGATCCTTTAACAACTGGGGATAAATAAACAAATAATTGAAGCGCATATATGCTATATGGCATTTTTTAGCAGATGGATGCATAATTGCAATGATATAATGGGCCACAGCACAAGTTTGTAATATTTATAACAGATACATCTCAATCCGTTAATGGATCATTCACCATGAAACACATAAGAAGCAATTGGAATCAGAATGTGGACGTGAATGTTTATTATTTTTACTGACGGATAAGCAGCATATGGAGACCCATAGGTAACAACAGTTCAAAATTATTAACAAGAAAGTAAACTGAAATTACCTGAAAGGAATATGTTAAGATCTTGGCTAGAAGGATAAAGGAGAAAAAGGAAATTGGGGAAGAATTTCTACTCATCTTTCCATATGGAAGAATCGTTGTGTGTATAAGTAAATGTACATAGAAATGGAATATAAAGCATGATGTAGGAGTGCATAAAATGTGATGTGGTTAGAGCTGTGTAGTATTTACATATTTGATGTAGAAAGATATATAATATAATAAGAAAAATGTGTAAGTGGGATGTATTATAGGTCTTTAACCAATCATTTTTTTATTTTTTTTTATTTTATAACAAAATATTTTCTAAAAAAGAAATTCCTAATGGATACCTAGGCACTCGGAGACGAGAAAGGGCGTAGTAATCGACGAAATGTTTCGGGGAGTTAAAAATAAGCATAGACTTCCATATGCTACAAAAATATTTCTTTCTGACACTCCCTTGTATTCATAGAATTAAGCTGTTTCTACAGGGGTGTTTTTGATAGATGCTTTCTTAGAAGCTGAGGTGCATGATTTGAATAAACAAAATTTAAATCAAGGGCTTGAAGCGCATGCCACCTCATCATCTATCAAAGAATCTGTCAATGAAACTGTACAAGTAGCATGGTTGATATTCATAACCTCTGCAATATTTTCGCTCACATCATATCATAATACTTAAAATATCGTAACTGTTTGTTATCCAAGTGTGATCTCTTATCAAACAATCTCGGACTCATCAACATATTTGGTTGCAAACTTACTCCTAAGTTCCTTCGTTAGCTGAAGATAATTCTCATAATTACTTTTCATATTAACAGAACTTACTTTTCTATAAGTAAATCTTAACTAACTTTCAGAAAAGGTAATTTTAAGCACAGCCAAACAAGCTCCATAATTCAAACCATGATATTGAATCTAGAAAAATATACTATTTTGGACCTGAATTGCGAGAAATAGAAAAAATTGGCAACGGATTTCCCACAATAATTTGCTAAAGTTAACAAATTTGAAATGGTTGTCTGGAATTTACCTTCAATGAACACTGAAAACTGGGTCAAGAAAGCACTGATTTGATCCTTATAAATGTAACCCAAAGAACCAAATCCTCCAACCGCACCCACAAGCAAAAGACCAGCTAAGATGGTTCCTTTAACTGCAGTATCGCTCCCTTCATCACCACCACCGCCGGTTTCACCATCCGTCCCTTCATCATTTCCCCCTTTTGGGTTGAAATTCAATAGCGTCCTCAGGCTCTGGGGTGCATTACTGGGAGTCTTCTGTTTCTTGGTTTCTCTTAATGAAGATAGTGGTTTGAAGAAGTGGAATTTCTTGGGCTTGAAATTAAAGAGTGAGAATTGGAAATTTGGTAGGGAGGAGGCGGCGGCGGATAGGCTGATGCAGAGTGGAGTTTGTGGTGGTGTTCTAGTCAGAGGAATGGTGGGCATTTTTTATTTTCTTTTTCATTTTGCCTTTTCTTCCTGGTTATTTATTTGTTGTGTTTTTTGAGGTTGTTCGTTGCCATTTAGGTTGCAGAATCTACTGTTGTAGGTTCTGATTCTGGAAACTATTTTGCATTTCATTTTTTGTTTTTTCACATGAAATTGTGCGTTTGATATTGCAGCACGTATTCCCTTTCTTTCTAATTCTCTCTATTTCACATCTTTTAACTCTTCTATAGACTTCATTAATATCCGAGCTCATTAGTTTACCCCCATCTATCTGAATAATGGGTCTCAACTCAGGAGGAAGAACTAGTAATAAACACAAAACCATCCATTCTGGTTCTATATTTGTTCGAATAAAATGCTTAGCCAATTCCATGCGTCTAACTAAAAAATCCTTTTTTCTTCCAACCTTTCGATCTTCCCATTCATTTCCTGTGGATCCTTCTTCCCCTAATTCTTTCCATTCTACAACGAATTATCTAGAATAATTCGTAAATATAGATCGGCTAATTGTTCTCGGATAACACCTGCACCAGTAGAAATTTCTCGATTGTGAAATGTATCGAAACCTTGGGTAGTAAAAAACAGCAGGATGCTGTATTTCCAAGATTGAATTTCATATTCGAATAAACCTTGTAATCGTAAGAAAGTGGGTTTTTTAGCTATGGGCCTAGCAAAAGAAAAATTGGGATAGGATCCTATAGGATCTCCCCCCTTCAAAATCGGACGTGAAAGTTTCCTTTCATCCGGCTCAAGTAGGTACACCAAATAAAGAAAGGAGTTCTCGCTTGCAAATTCTAGAAAACCCCAAACCAAAAAGATCTACTCCTTACTCAAGTTCCCAGTGAAGACCAAGCAAGATTTCATTGATTCCGCCTTCTTTTTATTTAGATTTTCTTAATTCGTTATTCAATTACGACATAAATGAAATGTGAAATTCTTGAGTAGTCTACTTCCCTTCGAATGATGAATCCCTTAATTCTTAATTTAAGAATTAAAGTGAAAGTAAAGGAGTACCTTGGAATTCATAAGGGATTTACTTGTCTATGTATTGTTACATTCGATCTTTTAGGTCCCGACTTCACCTCGACGGTTATGCTACGATGCCCTTAAAGCCTATACGCGATGGATAGACTCCTGTAACCATGACATATTTGCGCTTACTTGAACATAATTTCTTTCCAAAAGAAAGGTTAATTAAGGCATAATATTGAGAATGCTCATTGAATGAGTAATTCAATAAGAGAGCTCGGATCGAATCGGTAAATCAATACCGATTCGATCCGAGCTCTTGGAATTGGAATAAGTTCGACAGCGAATCACGAAATCTTGGTGATCTTCTCTATCTAATGAATGGGGAGTCTGCTTGAAAATCGTCCGCCTTGCATCACCCCCGAGTATATGCTTCAACAGGAATCACACAAGGGTAGATTAGAAACCTCTGGTAAAATGCCCACCCGTAACCCAGCAGATTACATAGTCCAGGGATTGGCGACTTACCCATTCAGTGACTTTGGCACTGGACGTTCCCAAAATGGGTACTATCGGGTCGGGTGAATTCAATAATAGACGCCTGTTGGCATTCCAGCCTTCCTTCTCCTTTCAGGGCCTATCCGAAAGAGAATCCAGTACTTCTTGGTCGTGAATATCTGAACTGGTTGTTCGCTGTTCAAGAATTCTTGTTTGGGCAGTTCATACCATCCATACATAGTGTTTTGATTAAGTTCATAACCCTAGCCCATTCCTATTTTTGTCGGAATAGATCTACTAATTATTTGATTCCAGTTAGTAAGAGGGATCTTGAACTAAGAAATAGACCCTAGAAGCTAAAAAAGGGTATCCTGAGCAATTGCAATAATCGGGTTC